CCAGACTGACGTAGTTGCTCTTCAGTACTCTGGAGAGGTCTCTGACAGCAGACTTTCCCAGTGCAATACATCTTTTAATTTCCTGCCTGCTGGTGCCAAGAGTGTTGACCATGGAGCCAAGCAAACTAAAGCTGTCAGCAATCTCAATCTCTTCACCATCCATCACAATGCTGCCAATAGGTCCAGGGATGAGAATCTTTGTTTTCTTGATATTGAGCTTCAATTCATATTGAAAGCTGCAGTTCTTGACCTTCTGCAGCAAGCACTTCAGATCCTCCTCAGTTTCAGCAAGCAGAGTTGTGCCGTCTGCATAACACAGATTGTTGATGAGTCTTACTCCATCCTGATGCCACATTTTCTCCTCGTAGAGACCAGCCTCCCAGATAATTTGTCCTGCATATAGATTAAAAAGGTGTGGAGATAGGACACATCCCTAGCATACATCCTTCCCAATTTGGAATCACTCAGTGTTCCCTTGCTCTATTCTGACAACTGGCTCCTGGTCCAGGTATAGGATTCACATAAGCATGATCAAGTGTTCTGGAATTCCCATTCTTCTTAGAGTTAGCCACAGTTTGTTGATTCTGAAGCTTCATCTGACATACTTTGGACTTGTTGTAATGAGGGACCAGTCCTTGGAGAGGGACATCATGCTTCGGAGGGTAGAGGAACAACCCAGGAGAGGAAGACCCTCAATGAGATGGATTGATTCTGTGACTGGGATCATGGGGATAGGGGACAATAAGATTGGCACAAGATAGAGCAGGGTTTCGGGCTGTTGTACATAGGGTCACTATGAGTTGCAGGCAACTTTATGGCACATAACAACAACAACAGCAACAACATCATTATGATTAATGGAAAAGTTATTGATGTTTTCAAGGATTTCATTCTTCTTGGATACACAGTCAGTGGAAGGAGGAGACAAGAAATCAAACTATTTTTGCACTTGTAAAATCTGCTGCAAAAATCTTTTAATGACCTAAAGAACAAAGATGCTACTTTGAAGACTAGGGTGCATCTGATTTAAGCTATGGGTTTTTTTCAGTTGCTTGATATGTGTGTGGAAGTTACATAATGAATAAGAGTGATTGAAAAGTAATTGATGTCTTTGAAATGTGCTGTTGGCAAAGAATGCTGGATGTATCATGACCTTATAAAAGAACAAGTAAATTATTTCATTTGGAAGAAGTGCACCCATATTGATCTTTAGAAGCAAGGAGGCTTTTTCTTGTATAATTTGGCGTGTAAACAGGATGGGCAGGTAACTGAAGGACATCATGTTTGAAAAAGTAGAGAGTCAGCGAAAGCTGAACATTCTCAAGGGGATGTTTGATCTAGTGGTGGAAACAATGGACTTCAAAGCATGAAGAACAGTGCAGATAGTGAGGATGTTATAGAATCAGGGAGGGTTCCTTCTACTGTACCTGATACCACCATAAATAGGAGGCCCCCTGATGTCTCTTAACAATAACAAGCTTATTTCTGGTGTCTTTTGCTTTCAGACAAGATCCATCAGAAGCTTGCAAGGATGTTCTTTTCCCACATCCTCTTCTGAATCCAGCTTGAATTTCTGGCACTTCCTTATTGTTACACTGCTCCAGAATTTTGGAATTATCTGCAGTAAGATGTTACTCCTTTATATTGTTCTACAATTTCTACATTCTCTTGGATTACCTTCTTACATCTCTTCTAGCCAATGTCTTCCAAATGTCTTGGCATAGATGGGGAGCTCATCCAGTATTATATCCATTTGTTGAAACATTTCAATTTCTATCCCATAATACAAAGGATTCCATAGTACTCTCAGAGTCTTGTGTCTCTCCAGTGCCTTCCACTTATCTTGAGTTTCTTCTTTCAGTACCAGTGGTTCTTAAGCATATTCTACCTCCTGAAATGGCTGGGTGGGTGTCAATTATTTTCGGTACAGTGACACCATGAATTTCCTCCACCTTCTTTTAATATTTCCTCTGTTTTTTACTATTTTGTCCATGAAGGTATTCCTAGTGCAGTTCAAGGCCTGGCATTTTGAAATTTGATTATAGAGGGACATATGATGCTGGTCTCCATAGGGAGATGAGAAGAGATGCCATATGTACAGAAAGAGCTTTTGAGAATCCATTCAGGATCTGTCAGTTCTGCATCTCTGAGCATCATGTTTGGATAGGATACTTGACTTTCTGCAGCCATTTGTCACCATACTGGAAAGAAATATTGTCAAGTGGAAAAATTACAATTGAAAATAAGGAAACCTTTCTGTCTCGCTTCTATACATTTCTTATCTCTTTGCTGTTGTTAGGTGCCGTAAGAGTTGAGTACAACCCATAGTAACCGTATTCATAACAGATATGCATTTGTTCTGTGCCAAACACACACTTTCTGACACATTGGAGTCAGTGTAGCAGTCACTATGTTCATCCACCTGGTTGAGGGTCTTCCTCTCCTTCACCAACCTGCCGCCTTCCCACTTTCCTCCATCTTATCTAAGTCTTTTATTTTAATGGAAAAAAAACCCATTCTTTAATGTTTGAGTGTATTAAAATAAATGTTTATGTTTTCCTATTTCAATTGTTTCTTTACTAAGATGATTCCATTAACTTACAATAATTAGAAACCATAGAAATAATGTAATGATGTCATTTTTAACTACAACAGTTGTGGTGGTTCAGTGGTAGATATCTCATCTTCCATGTGGGAGATGCATGCTCATTTCTTGGCCACGTTGCTACAATGCTGAAAGTTATCAGTGGAGCTTTGATACTAAGGCAAACTAAGAAGGAAGACCTTGTGAACTATTTATGAAAAATGAGACAATGAAGACACTATGGATAATAATGGTTTAATACATGCTTATGAATCATACATCCAACTCATGGGGATGCCCTGAGTTAATGATCAAACTCGACACCATGTAAAGTCAACAACAATACCTTATAGAGCTAAGTAAGTGAATGCTCACGTTCTATGCCATGGGACATTTCCAAATTATTGAGGGGTAGTAATGTCAAGTTTGAGGACTAAGGTGCATCTGATTTAGGCCATAGTCTTTCCGTATGCTAGCTATACATCCAAAACCTGGACAATGAATGAGGATGACAGAAAAAAAAATTGACACCTTTGAGCTGTGGTGTTGGAGAACAACACTGAACATCCCATGGATGGCCAAGAGAACAAGTAGGTATGTCTTGGAGACGGTGCAGCCAGAGTGCTCTTTGGAGGCAAGAATGATGAGCTTTGCCTCACATACTTTGGGCATGTTGTGAGGAGGGGCTATTCCTTGGAGAAGAACATGATGTTGGGAAGGGTGGAGGGTCGGCAAAGGAGAGGAAGACCCTCAATCATCTGGACTGACATGATGAATGATGCAATGGGCTCTTGTGTGTCAGGAAGTGTGAAGATAGAGCAAGACAGGACTGGGTTCAGATCTTTTGTTCATGGGGTTCTATGAGTCTTACTTGACTCAAAGACACTTAACAACAAAAACAACAATGGTATAATGTGAAAATTATTAGTAGTTGTAATGTAAAATTATTACTAGCTCTAAATAGATTAAGAGTAGAATACCACACTGATTCTGTTAGAGGTAAGGGAAATTTCTCTAAGGCATGACATGCAGTGCCTTTTATTTCACTAGATATAAAATGATAGACCTTTAATGGTATAGTCCATAGGACTAACTCAAAGATGGCATCTCTTTGGCAGTTCATATCCACTAGCAGCTCCTTGGGAGAAAGATGGGTAATTTCCTCTTGTGTGATTTTACAGCCTCTGAAAACCTACTGGGGTGAAGGAGATCTGTTACGAGTTGATTCTGACTGCATGACAGTGAGACTTAGTGGTGATCCTTGGTATCACCAAAAAAATGATCATCAGGTTACAGGGTGCCCTGAACTAGGAAGTTCCTTGGTACCACAGAAGACCAGAATACATGGAGCTCTCCAAAGAACACCTGGTGTATAAATGCTGAAGGAAATAAGGACTGTATTGTACAAGTGATAGAGAAACAGTGTGCTTTCTCTTAGAGCTGGCCCTCTAGACTTGCACTTCCAGTCTCTTAAACTGTAAGAGAATAAAGTTCTGTTTGGTAAAGCCACCTACTTGTAGCTCTGTTACAGGAGCTCAAGATAATTAAGACACTATCACAGACACATAGTTTTCCAAGGATATACATTTGTAATAACGAAATTGAGGCTTGAGTATTCAGGTTCTTTGTCTCTCACTGGGACAGAGTGTCCATGCGCATGACTCAATACATGAACTTAGGCTGAAGTTAGTCTTTTTCTCTGCCCACAATCTTGACTACATATTCCCCCTAATATATACACTTTACTTACTGCTTTTTAAATTCTAAGAAAACTCCTCTAATATCAGTAAACAAAGAATCTTGCCTAAGGCTCAAACTCTGTAGAACCAAGGAGACTGAGTTTGAAGAACTGAAATAATTGTTCAACCAGTGTGATTTGTGAATTTTTACTCAAATTAACTAAGAATTTTTTAAAAAATTTTTATTGTATTATTTTTACGTGTACTGTCAAATCAGATCTGACTGG